CAATGAATGAATGGAAATCCAAAACCTGTAAATGTTTTTTAAAATTAATAAAAATTTAAAAATGGGGGGAAAAAATTATTGGTCTGCACTACAATCCCAGAGGTACATGGTTCGAATCCACCAGATGCTCTGCTAGAGAAGGAGGGGAATCTCCTCCTGTACCAGTCAGATCCGATTTGACATTACACACACACACACAAAATAATAAAACTTAAAAAAAAATTATTTGTCATGTTTTCTGACCCACTACTGTGCAGAGAGTGCTTTCCCTTGTTCGGCATCCCATCTCCTTCTGAAACCACAGCTTTCAGTTTCCTACCAGTTTCATTCATTCATTTATCTCCCAAGCATGTTCTCTGTGCCAAGTAGACGAACACAGACAGATCATCTTAAACCAATCCCACTGCCATTATGTTTAGTCCCACATGTAGAAGAATTTGTTGGCAAGGGATTTCTGGATGTGTTTAAATTCTTGACACATGTTGTCACTAATTTTTTACCTTGTAGTTTCACCAGTATTTCTTAATTCCTATGGCTATGTTGGTTAGTATTTCTTAGCTCTCTCTAATTGGCAGGTAGAGATAAGAAAAGAAGTGTAACTCCTCAGTACATGTAAAATTGTCCTTTTACACTTAACAGTCACCCTTGCCTGGAGAAAAGCCAGCTCTTGGAACTGTGCTGCCGCAGAGTCCTGCCTCAGTGGAGCCAGCCCCCACAGTGGGCGACACAGCCCCCAAGCCAGCCAGCAGTACAAGGCCTGCCTGTCCAGCCAGCACCTCGCCCTTCAGCTGGCTGGCTGACCTGACCAGTGGGAACGTCAACAAAGAAAACAAGGGTGAGAATGTCCTGCTTTGGGGTTCTTGAGTACTTTAGTCCGTCATGGGGACCTTAGCAGCCTCAGCTACTATGAGAGCAGAGGTTAGATGTCATATGTAGAGAAAAGGAGTACACTGTCATCATCCTGCAGCCCCAACCCCAGAGTGAGCCTCCACTGATGATGCATCTCAAAGTTCTGCCAAAACTGGGTTTGGCCAGAAGGGAGTGGGGGTGAGGCTTTGTCTTCATGAGTGACCTTTTGCCTTTACCTGTCTTGCACAGCCCATATTTGATTGGAATGTTCCAGCTTTGCTTTTCCTTCATTTGTATTGTCATCTTAGGATGCTTGACAGTAGTATAAAGAAAATGCACTTTGGATTCAGGTAGAGTTGATTAGAATTTAGGTGATTACTCTTTCTTTCTGTATTTTACAGTAAGTAGGAAAAAAGCAGAGTTGCAGGCCTGTCTCTCTCATACAGTGACCCAAAACATAATTGTAGTGAGTCAGATTTGATGTAGTGAGTCAGATTTGACATTCAGTGACTGAATCCCCAGTGTAACCAATCTGTTCCCTAGAAATGACAGGTGGAGTGTAAATGTGCAAAAATGGGGGGGGGGATCATGAGATGCAAATTAAACACCTATTCTTGGAGGGGGGGGAAGTCTCTTAGCAAATTAGAACCAAAAGGGAACTTCTTTACTAAAAAAAACAGATAGCTACATGGTAAATCTATTGCAGTGATAACAAAATAAATCATAGCTGAAAACATTTGAACACTTAATGAGAAAAGATACCTGCTTTCACTCCTTCTGGGGAATTTTGACCCTATCATCACAGCCAGTGAAGTGAGGAGCAGAACAGTAAAGGTGGCATTGGAAAAGCAGAGATAAAAGCTATTTCTGTTTGCTGCACACAATCTAATTTTATGTGTCAAGAATTGGCATTTAATGAATAAACATGTCAAGGTTGTGTGATACAAGGTCAATTTAAAAAAAGTTGAAATTGTTGTCACCCATAAGATCACCTTGATACTGTTTTTGGATATTGTTGTTTTAATACTCAGTGGTCATCCTTCATTTCTGAATGCTTTTCTAAGTAATCTTTCTCCCTCCTTAGAAAAGCAACCCACAATGCCCATTCTAAAGAATGAGATCAAATGCCTTCCACCACTGCCCACATTGAGCAAGTCTAGTACAGTCCTGCACACCTTCAACAGCACCATTCTGACACCTGTAAGCAACAACAATTCTGGCTTCCTCCGAAATCTTTTGAATTCCTCAACAGGCAAGGTAGGTGTTCATTTTACTGTTTCTACCCAATCTTATTAGTGTCAAATAAAGTCGGAATGGGAAGAGACTAGAAAGCGACAGACAGGACATGAGTCCCATTCAGTATGCAGGTGTGCTTACAGGGCTGTGCTCCTGGGCTGGCTCATTTTTTGGACTTCTGGGTCCTGAGAGTTGTTCTGTTAAGTTGGGGAAGGAGACCTGTCTGTTTGCTTAGGGTTTTGGCTTAGATATTTCTACATGAACAACATCTTAACAATGATAGGAATGGAGTGTTTTCTATACTGGGGAAACATATTTAAAACTTGTTGCTTTTGTGAATTTCAGACAGAGAATGGACTCAAGAGTACACCAAAAATCCTTGATGACATCTTTGCTTCCTTGGTGCAAAACAAGACGTCCTCGGATCTATCTAAGAAGCCTCAAGGACTGACCATCAAGCCCAGCATTCTGGGCTTTGACACCCCTCACTATTGGCTATGTGATAATCGCTTGCTGTGCCTGCAGGATCCCAACAATAAGAGCAACTGGAATGTGTTCAGGGAGTGCTGGAAGCAAGGGCAGGTAACCAACCCCACTCACTGCCCAAGACTAAATGGCATTGCCCCTGGCTTGTCCTTTGTTGTTCAGGGTGTGTAGAATGAGGTCACGGTGAGGTCCAATAAAGCAGACCTGCCTGAGCTCTCTTCCCAATGAGGTTTGATGCTTCTAACTCTCCAGCTTTAGTTAGAAGTATGATTTAGGAGCCTCATAAAGTGGAAGACGTAAACAAGATAGCATAAAAGTCGCGCATCCCTCTTCCCTTGGTTCACACTTGTACTGGAGACAATCCTGCGTGGGCAGACCCTTGGGATCATCTTGGAACCACCTGGAGTCTTCTAGGGTGCCTGCTTAAAAAGGGGCAGCACTGTGCATCAGAAGTTTAGGTTGATGTTTCTACTCCTGCCCCTCAGTATTTTATTGTTTTGGCTTCTATTTTTGGAAATTTCTTACTCTCTTTTCAGCCAAATAAGATCTTTTTTAAAGGAATACTTTACTTTTGAACAAGGCCAGGACTTGAGGAAGTACCCTTCCTTTTTCTCTTTTTTATCTTTTATGTACTAACTAGGGACCTCTGATGGCGTAGTCCGTAGCAGGTTGTCCTGCCAGCTCAGTGGCTACATGTCTGCTGTTGGCTCTGAGGGACAGAGAGGAACATTCTCCTCCAGCTCCAGGTCACAGCTTCAGAAACCCAATGGTGGGTCGTTTTGAGTCTGAACTGACTGAGTTTCTGAAATGAGAAAAAAAATGAATATACTAATTAATGTCATTTGCTTATTTAATCATATTAAGGATACAGGTTGATTACAGTCCATTAACATGTTTTATTTATACTCCTTAATATTTGCAAAAATTGAAGAATAACGCAATCTTGAAAAAGGAAAGTAAAAGTATAAGACTCACACTTCCCAACTTCAGACCTATACAAAGCCCCAGTAATAGTGTTGTACCAATATAAGGATAGACTTATGTAGCTGTTCCATGCCGGCAAGTTAGAACCAACTCATAGCTCCAGTGGGTTTTCAAGAAGCAGTAAATTGCACATGAGGAGACAACTCATCTTTCTCTTGTAAAGTGGTTAATGGATTTAAACCATAAACCTTTAGGTTGGTTAGTGTAACTCCTTAACCACTAAAGCCCTAGAACTCCCTAAAGTCATTAGAGAAATACACATGAAAATCATAGTGTGATACTGTCCTATAAACATAGATGAAACTTGAAGTTGATCCAAGCAGAATGAGTTTAACATAAAAAGGACAAGTATGTATGACCTCACTTATATTTAAAGTAGGCAAAACCAAACTGACTCTGGTTGTTTTCAGGAGCAAGTAGGAGAGACACATGGGAAGATGTTGTTTAAAGGGTCCTGAGTTTTTGTTAATGGTGATGAAAAAACTGGGATTATGGATTGTGGTAGGGCGTGTAACAAAGGGAACAAAATGTCACTGAATTGTGCCCATAGAAATGGCTGGAATATCAAATGTTTTGTTACATAGGGTTTTGTTCCTCTATAACCACAATTTAAAAAAATTAAAACCTTTTAAGGGGAAGTAGATGGGGCGGTAGAACTTGCTGCCAATATTTTACATTCGGCCATTTCTCATGCAGTTGGGGTTCCTAGCTGATCTGGGACACCCAGGAAACCTGACCTCTAGGTGCATCTCCCTGCCCAGCAGCAGCAGGTCAGAGGCAGTGGTGGGAACACCCTTCTGCCAAGTTCTCATCCTTTCTTCACATTCTCTGCCTTGGGATTTGGAGTTTTTGTCCCATGTATAATGGAATCTGAGCTGGAAGGATTGATCCTTGATCCTCGAACCTCATTTATCCCTGAGAGTAGTTTGTGTGTAGCCAATAAGCGGTAAAGCTGTCAGTGCTGGGGGTAGAGAGGACTAAGCTGCACTCCAGCATCTGAGTGAAGGACCAGCCACGCGGGAACAAACAGTGCAGCAGTTGGAAGAGGTGGTGTCTATGGGCACAAAGTACAGAGCTGGGAGAATGCAAACTAAAATCTTCCTTCTCTTTCAGCCTGTGATGGTGTCTGGAGTGCATCACAAACTGAACACTGAACTTTGGAAACCTGAGTCCTTCAGGAAAGAGTTTGGAGATCAGGAGGTTGACCTAGTCAATTGTAGGACCAATGAAATCATCACAGGAGCCACTGTGGGAGACTTCTGGGATGGATTTGAAGATATTCCAAGTATGTATTTAAGATTTCTTAAGAAGGGTGAAAAGTTCCTGGTGGAACAAAGGGCTTAGCGCTCAACTCCTCGCTGTAGGTTTGCCATTTGAATCCAGCCAGACACTCCTCAGAAGACAGGCTTGATGATGACTTCTGAAGGTCGCAGCCTTGGAAGCCCCATGGAGCTGTCCTACACCATGTCCACCACGTGTGCTTTCTGTATAGGCCAGGGTTCAAGTTCTGGTGCTTGATGTGCACTTGCTGAGTAGATAAGCTTGGTGTACCTTAGCTTTTTTTTTTTTTAATTATTTTTGTGTGAATGTACCATCAAATCAGATCTGACTGGTACAGGAGGGGATTGTCCCTCCTTCCCCGGCAGAGCATCTGGTGGATTCGAACCGTGCGCCTCTGGGATTGTAGTTGCAACTCCTTGCCACTAGGCCACCAGAGCTCCTCTGTACCTTAGCTTTTATCCTCAGTCTAGACTGTAGCTTGTCTTTTCCAGATGTGGCATAAAGGTGCAATCTGTAGTCCATTTCTGACTCAGCTACTTGACATCTCTCATTAAAAAAACTGGAATACTAAAAAAAATTTCTTTAGTTAGCCAATATGCTGTTATAGTGCTAAAAAAAAAAAACAACAAAACACCCCAAACCACCAAAATGAGCAATATTAATTAATTTGTGCCTTATTTCAGTTGGGTACTGGTTTCATTGTGAGGGCTACATGGTTAAAACACTTAGCACAGACAAAACTTAACCACAGCAGTGGTGTTCTAATTGAGTTCCTTTGCTCCGGGTTCCCTGACAGTACTAGCTTTGGGAGCTCAGGAATTAGTTTTGACTAAATCTGTGTGTTCTCTAGAAGATGTGATGGAGGGAAGGTGGCCCCTACTGTCCCTGGACACATCTAGTCTTAGTCTCTGACCAAAACAAGTCATCCTTTATTAGGACGGCCTTAGGCCATTGAGTTTACAAAAACATCTGTGGGATTTGCTTGTTAAAGTTCACTGATATTGGTCAATTGAGTTGTCCACTTGTGTGTGTGTGTGTGTGTGTGTGTGTGTGTGTGTGTGTGTACCATCAAATCAGATCTGACTGGTACAGGAGGATATTGCCCCTCCTTCTCCAGCAGAGCATCAGGTGGATTTGAACCGAAGCTGTCCACTTCTCAAGTACCCCATAGGAAAAGAGCCTGAGCCTTAGATGGTCATTTGTTGAAACACATTTATTTTGGGCAAAAGGCAATGGCTGAAATCTCAAAGAAGGCATAAAAGTCTTTAAAAAAAAAAAAATAGGACCCTGATACAAATTAATTGATGACTTATTTTGCTGTTCCTGGTTACCCTTGAATGAGTGCAGTTAGATTTCTTGACTAGAGAAATATCTGATGTGACTGGTAAGTGTGAGGGGGAGAGTAGTAAAAGAATACTTATATTCTAAATATATCAGGTTAGGGAGTTTTTATAGAAGTATATTTGAGAGCTTTGGTGGCCTAGTGGTAAGAAGCTGTGCTGCAATCCTGAAGGCATGTTGTTTGAATCCACCAGATGCTCCCCGGAAAAAGGATAAACAATCTTCTGTGCAGTTAACTGCCTCTGAAAACCCACTGGAGGATCAGCGGGGGGTCAGTTCTGACTTGATGATAGTCAGCAACAAAGTATATTTGGCTTTTATCGAGTTATGAAGAGCTCTCCTGGTTACTTTGCAGATCGCTTGAAAAACGAGAAAGAGCCAATGGTGTTAAAACTCAAGGACTGGCCGCCAGGGGAAGATTTCAGAGACATGATGCCGTCCAGGTGGGGAGTGAGGATTTCTGTCCTTGACTTGGTGTATTTATGTTTCCATAGTTTCACTTGTGCTGGGTTTTCATTTTTAGTGTGTAATTTTTAGAGGCATGTATTTTTAAATTAGATGGAGATTCTGACTTTTAGATCTGGCTCAGTAATGAAAGCGCCTACACCTTTTCCACTGCTCTTCTTGCCTAAGGAAGAGACAAATTTTTGCAAGCACTGATTTTGAGGAGGTAGTTTTCACAGAGTTCCTGGTCCCTAAGGGCTAATGGTTAAATCACCCCTCCAACCCCCAGACACCACCACCACCCACCACCCTACCCAGTGGTACCACAGGAGGAAAGGCCTAGTGATTGTTTTGGTTAGTATTACAAACAAGAAAACTCTGGAACAGTTTTCCTGTCTAATATATCAGGGGCACTGTCAGTTGGACCTTTTCAGTAGGTCTAATATATGTGCGTGATCTAGTTTTATCATTGAGTTAAACAATAAAATATCTGAACTGGTAGATCCATTTTCATAGAATTGGACTTGAAACCTTGAAAAGCAGCCTCTGAGATAATTAGTAATGCATCTGTGTTTATTCTTTGATCTGGAATTTACTGCTTAGAAATATTCCAGCTCATTTCAACACATTTATGTAGTGTAGGACAGAAAAAGAGCTAACTTCATGATGTCATTCCAATGTTAAATAGTGATTACGGTCACAAATAGTTTGATTTACTCCTTTTTGTTTACAAATCACATAGTGATATACTAGGAAGACAAACTTATTTTGTGAATTCCTGGTTCTCTTGTCCTAGGTTCGATGATCTGATGGCCAACATTCCACTGCCTGAGTACACCAGGCGAGATGGCAAACTGAACTTGGCTTCCAGGTTGCCCAGCTACTTTGTTCGGCCTGATCTTGGCCCCAAGATGTATAATGCGTACGGTAAGGAGGAAGCAGCAAGCTTTGAAAATGAGTACTAAATACAGCAAATCACATATTTGGAAAGTTGATTATTGCAGCAGGTTCTGTTTGTAGCGATCTTCCTTGGCCACTCAATTTTATATATTTTCTTTCCAGAGTTGCAGTTACAGATCATGCACAATTTGATATCTTTCCTTTCTGCATCTAATGTAGAATCTTTATATGTTATTGCTAAATAGTCTGGAGTATGATAATTTTTAATGGTTTTTATGCTTCATCAAATGAACCTTTTTTGAAGGCTTTTATTTACCAGTTTGTTGAATGAAGGTTCAGTTGTTCTGACCCTTCCAGTGGCTTTCAACTAATATTTCATTCTATTTGAACCCCATTTTCCCATTACTTGTAAAAGTTACTTCTTTTCTTCCCACCTTCTAGTCTCTTTAAGATTTAAGAGTGTTTACTGTAGAGTGTTTGTAGCATGGAGATGGCCACCTCTGACCCCAGTTAACTCCACAGAGGAAAATGTCCTTATCAGCCACACTCACCGTACGAAACTTCATTTCTGTGAAGTCGGATACAACCCCCACGCTCCTACCTCTACACATTTTAAGACCCGCCATCACTCCCAGGGCTCTCAGATCTGTTGCATGGCCCCACAGATCTCACAGAACCATACACACAGTTATGGAGGTCATTAGGGGAGTTAACGGGTCAAAGCACAGGTTAGCAACAGGATATGGTTCCTCATTCAGGACAGCTGCTCATGTGTGCTTGCAGGCTCTTTGACCTTCAGCCTCACAGCTCAGCTTAGTCCTGCCAATTATGGCGTCTACCTCCCGAAGTCCTCCCACTCGGGGAAAGCCCCTGGCTCTGGCTCCCTGGGGCAGTACTCCCTGTTTTATGTTCCAACCCAGTTGTATGGTGAAAAGTCAAAGCCGAGGCTAGGACAGACATTTTGAACAATAAACCTGCTAATGCCACATGACCCTTCCAAAGAGAGGGTCAGTTTGTTGACTCCTTTGCTAGAGTCTGTACAGACTGTTGGAGGGGAAGGGAGCAAGAGGGAAAATGTGGAGATGAGGCCCAGCCCAAAGTTCTTCTATTATGGCAGAGTCAGTCCGAGAGACCCCAGGAAGGAAATTGGGGGAAATTCTTGAGAGAAGTTTGTTTTCTGTTGGGAAGTTTCTAGTAATCTAGGTGTCTAGGCTGGTCTCAGTAGTGTTGAATGAGATCTGATCTGTGGGAGAAAGGATTTGGCATGCCGGAGTCCTTTGTAGTTTGTACCTTGATTTGGAGAGCCCCCACATGCACTGGGTTTGGAGAGGTCCTATGGCTATGTTCCCTGAGTCCTTCAAAGCTGTGAGCAAAGCTGCTCTGCTGGCTGGGATTCCAGGGCAACATCCTGGGTTTACAGTGTGGATTTATGGTAAGCTTTCTCCATTGAAGTGAATGGGTACTGTTGTATAATGATTAAGGGTCTGTATGTAAATCATGAAGCTTTACAAAGTAGAATGGCCATCAGAATTCTTTTCAGATTAAATTGCCTGCCTGCTAGGGTAATAGCTTAGCAGCAGGTCTTTATCTCTGACATGGATAAATGGCAGTGCTACTCTGAGAAACCTTTTCATGTGGCGAACTTAATTCTTTTCTAGATAATAAGCATATAGGAGTTGAAAAGAATAAAACGTTTTCATTTTCATATTCTTCAGAGACAAAGAGTTGCCACATATCAGCAGTTGGTTGGTTGAGCTGTGTGTCCTCAGGCAAAGCACGGGGAATAGGTTTTTTAAGAGAGATAACTAACCCAGCCTTCTCTGGTCCAGCACCACCCCTGGCAAGGATGCTGGCTTGTACTCCTACTCCAGCTCCATAGGGCAGCATGGCACATCTGGGGCTTGAGCTGGGTTCTCCTGAGTGTGGGAATTTTGAACAGTAATCCTCCTCCTTCACCTTGCCCCAGGGCTCTGTCCCCGTGCAGCTTCCATGTCTGTTGCTTTTCATGATTCTTGTGGTATTTGTTTGAGGATTTTCTACTGGAGAGGATTCTTTCCCCAAGACACTGCTTTTACAGATGGTTCCACCTGAATTGATGCACACTCCATTTAGACTGGCTTTACTAATGAGGGCTAGGAGTGGATGGATTTGTGACGAAGGGCTGGGTGGTGTCATTTCCTTTTATTGAGTTCTGTTTAATCACTCGAGCATGTCTAAGCCAACAAGCAGCCTGATGAGGCTTTAAGACCTGTTTCTGAACTCATCCTTCCAACACCACAAACCATCTGAAGTTCTTTGCATGTATGATTTTGTCCTTCGTAGTCCTATTCCTGAATGATATTGTTGTTTTTAACCTGCTAGCACTTTCAGTAGAAGCAGTTGTCTGTTTGATCCATGCTGCCATGAAGAACTGTGCTCATTTTCCATCTACATCATTAATAGCCTTTTTCTTCAAATTTTGCTTTTCACTTTGGACGTATTTTGTAAGCAGATTCAAAGCTTGGAGAATCCACTCCAGGGACCCCTGTGTACTCATCCCCCAGCCACAACTACCAACTGTTTTTCCCGTGCCTGTACCTTGTAGCAGGGTGCGCCTTCTGTGAAGAGGGCTTGGTCACAGACTGCGCTGGAGAAGACCCTGCCCTGCTCTTGGGGCTGAGCAGTGCTTGTCTCACTGGGCTCAGTCTGTGTGGGTGGGAGTTTTCTGCTAAGATTTCCCATTCTGAGGTGAGCCCAAGCTTTCTCTCTTGCCCCAGAGCCCCACCAGACTGTCAGACCAACTTGAGTCAGTCTCATCTGTGCACATTCCAGCTTCATTTTTTCACTTGACAACTTCCCTTGCTTTTCTGTGCCTTAATTTCTTTCTGTTCTTTTCTTGCAAGTGTTGTTTTTTTTTTTTTAGCCACTGTCCATTTTGAAGGTCTCTCCTCTTTCATCGATCTTCTTTACCAAGTTTGATGTTTTCCCCCATTGATTAATTCCCTCTTGATGATTTGTCCAAAGTGAGTGAAAACAAGTCTCACCAGGCCCGCTTCTAAGGAACGTTCTGATTAAATTCCTTCTGGCAGCTGGTCTTCACTAGTCTATGTTCTTCCCTGGGAATACAATTTGAAGGCAGCAGCTCTTGGATCTTCTTGTTTACTGTGCCCAGCTTTTGCAGTGCAGAGCATGAGGTGACTGAAGATGCTGTGACCTGGGCTGTGTACAATTTAGCCATCAAAGTAACACTTTACTTCTTATACATCTTTGGCTGCAGATCTGACCAATGCAATGTATAATTTGACTTCTTGATGGTGTTTCCATGGGTATTGGTTGATTTGATGTAAGTAGAATTTGGTGTCTTTACTGTCTTTACAGTATATCATGAGACACTTTACCTCAAGTAAAAGTAGAAAAGGACTAGGAGCCTTCGGCAGCTTTGTGGTAAGGAGTTGAGCTGTGGTTGATTTGATGTAAGTAGAATTTGGTGTCTTTACTGTCTTTACAGTATATCATGAGACACTTTACCTCAAGTAAAAGTAGAAAAGGACTAGTAGCCTTCGGCAGCTTTGTGGTAAGGAGTTGAGCTGCTGGCCTGAAGGTGTATCATTTGAATCCACCAGTTGCTTAGCTAAAGAAGGATGGGCAGTCTCCTCCCAAGTGACTTACTGCCTCTCAAAAACCATTGGTTTTGTGATCATGTATCTAAGAGTAGAAAATACAATAGTAATGCTTGTCATGTTGAGCAAATTCATGACATTTTCTTTTTGCAGGATTAATTACTCCAGAAGATCGGAAATATGGAACAACAAATCTCCATCTCGATGTATCTGACGCAGCTAATGTCATGGTCTATGTGGGAATTCCCAAAGGACAGAGTGACCAAGAAGAAGGTATATGGGCGGCTGAGTAAGAAATGGGGTGTGCCCTCTGACCTAGGAACCATAGCATGATACGTGTTTTTCCTTGCTTTAGAAGTCCTTAAAAGTATCCAAGACGGAGACTCTGATGAACTCACAATAAAGCGATTTCTTGAAGGAAAAGAGAAACCGGGAGCCCTCTGGCATATATATGCTGCAAAAGACACAGAGAAGATAAGAGAATTCCTTAAAAAGGTATGCTTTCCCCTTAACGGCCTACAGGCGGAAATGTCTGGTGTGAGGGCTTGTGTAGTAAGTACTGGCTTTGTATTGCTTACCTTTAGACAGGCTGTAGTATCATAGTCAGTTACTGTTTTGAATTTCTACTTGGTGAGCATTGTTGCTCCTCTCAGAAGTCTGGCTATATTTTGATAATCACATTTGAAAAGGAAAGTTCAGAGTTAAGTCTGTGTATGCCATTTTTACAGGGTGAGTGGGGTTGCTGAGGGAAAGGGTTTCTCAGTAATCCCCAGCTCATCTCCAAGCTCCGTTTAATTTTGTTGCCTGAAAGCCCAGGCACTTTAGAGGGTCACTGTTGAACCTTGGTCCTGAGCGATTCCTGCTTAAGGTCTCTGTTGTGTTTGCCTGTCCTCACTCAGCAAAGGCTCAAGAGGGTCCATGGCCCTATCCTGTTGGGTCTCATTGTCAAGGATGAAAAGTCCAGGTTTCCTCTTCAGCAGGGATTCTGGGTGGAAGTTTCAGGAACTACACTGATTGCGTGAACTTAGTTTTTAAGTTTTTCACTAAAACTGCTGGTTGCCATTCAGGTATTCTAGAGTCTTGTTTAAGATCTGGGTTGAGGGTCTTTACTTGGAATATGACTTAAGGTGCTTCTCACTGGCCATTATTCTTTGATACTATTACTCTGAGACTGCTTTGCTAGGTAATATTCTAGAATAAACAAGAATTTTCTTTAAAGTTACTTAATCCACATTTTTTTTGTAGTTCAGATGAGTGATGAATGTTTGTATCCAACATTGAACCTATTTTCAGAAAACTAGACTAAAAGACTAGTTCAAAATCCTGTCCAAATACAAATAACACTGTTTACAGCCACCCACAGATTACCAGTCATTTTGGAGGATGCTGCATTTTCTTTGTTGTCTTGTTGCTCCTGTTCAGTCAGGAGTTTGGACGTGCTTGGTAGTGCTTTCCCACCATCAGGAGGACTTCCCTAAGAGAACCTTGCTATTTATTGATGGCCAGCATTGTTCACTAACTGCCATGTTGCTCAGGTGTTTGATGATGTGAACACATTCTAGGTCTCAGAAGAGCAGGGCCAAGAAAACCCAGCTGACCACGACCCTATTCACGATCAGAGCTGGTACCTGGACCGATCTCTACGGAAGCGCCTCCATCAAGAATACGGTGTTCAAGGCTGGGCTATCGTACAGTTTCTCGGGGATGTTGTTTTTATACCAGCCGGAGCTCCGCATCAGGCAAGGAAGGCCCTTTGCTTTAGTCTTCATCCATCCCGTGACAGGAATGTTGTTTCTGACATGCCTTGCTGTTTTTCAGGTCCATAACTTATACAGCTGTATCAAAGTGGCTGAAGATTTTGTTTCTCCAGAGCATGTTAAACATTGCTTCTGGCTCACTCAGGAATTCCGCTATCTTTCACAAACTCACACCAATCATGAAGATAAATTACAGGTAAAAATAGTAGAGATACTAGCAATTCATTAAAATGCTGATGTAATGATCAGGAAGCATGGCCCTTGTCATAGCAGATAGTATGAGCTTCATCCACCTAAGAAAGGCATTTCTTGGTTGAGAGCTGGTTTGATGTTTTAGACCTTGTATAGGACTGTGTGTAACTACAGAAAGGCCCTCAGACTGAAAATGAGTGGATCTGACTTTTGATCCTGGCTCGGCTCTATCTACGGTCTAGGACAGGGTGCGTGTACTTCCAGAGCAGGAAAGGCACTTCAGGCGTGAAAGGAGTCTCCTAGCATGCTGGCTTAATTGTAGATTGTGTAGTAGTAAATTTCATAGTTGGAAAATGAGTGGGCTGCATTAGCTTGGAACTCGTTAAGGCAGCCAGTCCACTTCCCTCACCTGCAAGAGGGGGGCGTCTGGCAGCAAAGCCTGGGGAAGGAGAAGTGTGCATGCCTGGTTCTTCAGGGGCAGGCGTGTGGTTTAGAACATTCAGCTGTCTGAAATCCTGGTCCGGCTGTGAAAACCCATCCTTTGTCAGGCCTCATGGTGTGTTGACGGCATTGCTTCCATTTTCCCAGGTGAAGAATGTCATCTACCACGCAGTGAAGGATGCTGTGGCCATGCTGAAAGCTAACGAGTCCAGTGTTGGCAGACCCTGAGACCCAGAGACCCTTCCCCAGGAGGAGGGGGTTGCTGGCAGCTGTTGAGACTCCTCAGGCAGGATTCCTGTGGATGTGGAGATTCATGTTACCTCATCTTCTTTTTTAAACTGGACCCTCCTTGTGAGGGTACTCTGTCTAATGTATATTTCTAGTGTTTACAGACACTAAATGTGTATATGTAGTAACTATTTACAGAACGTGCATCCTTAAACTGTGACTTCTCACCTAGGCCAGAACTTTACCAAGCTGTAAAAGCAGACCTCTCCTCAGCTGTGAACCACCACCTGCACTTACGCCCCAGCTGTTCGGTTGGACAGCTTAAAGTGAAGTCGCTAACTCATTAAAAATCACTGCGCGTGACTCATTTGGGTCTTGCCATGTGTCTGTCCAGGTGCCCTGTCCCCACCCCAAGGGCTGAGAGGAACAGCAGAGGAGAGGCGTGCAGTGAAGCCATCACCTGGACCCACAGGGCTGCTGGCGTGCTGCAGAAATCAACTACTGTACAATTCTTGGGATTAACCATCTTTAGTTAAATGGAGTTTTAATTTAAATGAAGCTTTGCTAATTTTAAGTGTTAAGCATTTTGCATTAAAGTATTCATGTAATACTTGGGGCTCTGTTTTCTTGGCTTCTAGTTGTGCACGCAGTTTCCTTTTCATCATGTTAGAGGCATTGAGAGGTTGTTTAACACGTTGCCGCACACTTTTAAATTGAGACCGTGCTGAGAAACACTTTTTTTTTTGCTGGCAACGTGTTAAGGAACTTTTGTAAATGCAAAGGAAGAGACACACTCCACAGAACCTCCACTCTGAGATGAGGACTCTGGCTCTTGGTTGAATAGCCCATGTCTAGAGGTACAGCCAGGAAGACAAGCCTCACATAGTGGATCCCACCACAGTTGAACTGAGAGACCACTAGGTGAATGAGCAGCATCAAACGGTCTGATAGATATAATTGGATTCCCAGACAGAGGAAACAAACAGGATTAAAGAAATGACAAGATGGACTGAAAAGTTCCTAAGCTTAAGCTAGTAAAAGATGCCAACTGTCAAGTCCCAAGTAGGATAATTACAAAGAAAACTACACACACAGAGACCTATCACAGTGAAGATGCTGAAAAGAAAACTCAGCATCTTAAAATGCACATTTGGGGGAAGTGCTTACAGGGATAGAAAATGAGGGAAGAAGAGTGGAAGCGAGGGCAGAATGACATCTGTGATGGATAGGATACAGAAATACCATCAAGCCACCCCTGTTGAACTAGTGGCAAGAACATGTGCTCTGCAATCCCAAAGGAGCCACCAGCTGTTGTGTGGTAGGAGGGGCCAATCTCCTTGCTAGCAATCCACCAGAGGGTGGATTCCTCCTCGATGACACGCAACAGGGAACAGTCAGTCAGGAGTGCCTAACTCCACCTTCCACAAGGCACAGGCAGCACTACAGGTGCATCTATCAAATGGTCCTCCTGTCTGCAAACGAGCCAAGAGGGCAGGAAGACTGCTTGACATACTGATTACATGCAGTGCCTCACAGTCACGTGGTTAAGGTTCTAGTACCACACCTGCTCTGTGGGAGAAAGATGCCCAGTCTCATCCCTATCACACCCCGTTTACAGCCTCAGAACCCCAAGTGAGGGTCGCAGTGAGTCAGCAGGGTGGGGAGAGTATTGGGTGGTGGGTTTCTTGTTTATCTATTCCTTTTATCAAGGAAGCTATGGTGGCCCACTGGCAAGAAACAGCTCTGCAACCCCGAAGGCAAGCAGTTCAAATCCACAACTGCAGTTAACTGCCTCTGAAAACCTGCTGGAGGGTCAGCAATGGGTCAGATCCGACTCGATGGTATACAACAACAGCCACAACAATTACTCGCATCCAAGACAAGGGTAACCCAAAAATTGACATTGAGGGCACATGGAAGATGACTACCTGCTGTAACAGTCCCACCCAGCCAAAGGGACATGTGACCTTGATCAGCACAGCCATTACTCGTACCTTCCACCTTGTTTCTCCTGCCAACCATGTCCTGACCCTTCCCTCGGTTTTCAGAGGCAGTAAACTGTACAGAAGGGAACTGTTCCTCTTTCTCCTGTGGATCTGCAGGTGGGTTCAAATCACATGCCTTATGGTTGGCAGCACAGCTCCTTACCACTAGGCTGCCAAAGGTCCCTAGGTCACTGTTAATGCAGTTAGTGAATTTGAAATGTCAGATAATGAGCCAAAAAGTGAGTCAGTATAAATTTTAATACTAAAATCTGGTAAGAACAATACAAGAAAAAATGCTAATTCAGTGTAAGCCAGCTGTGACTCCATGACCCTTAAATGGCTTTCTGAAGCTGTTCAGAGGAGACTGCTCACCTTCCTGGTAGACCTAAACTGCCAGAGATCTGAGGCCTGGTTAGTACAACACACTATAGCTGTGCCCACCGAGTTCCTTAGAAAAACAAGTTCCAATCAGTAATGCCTGAAAGGTGTATGTTACGACCAAAGCCAGACTTGAACTCTAAGGAATTAAAGGCCAGGTTCATGTAAAAATAATTTACACATCACAGACGGCAGTGAAAACATCCAGTGGACCACCCCAGAGGCAAGAAGAAATCATAAATCCAGCCTATTTATAAACATATTGTTGTTAAATGCCATTGAGTCATAGGCAACTCAGCAACCCTACAAACAAAAAGACACGAACACTTGAATAACATTCTTCATTTCTCCAAGTTCATAGGGTTTCCACAGGCAATCTATTTCAGAAGTGGATGCCACTCCTGCTTCCAATCTTGTTTTAACCAGGAAGCTCTACCACTGTCTGCCATGGGTAACCAATTAATCACATTTGGCACATCAGGGTCACAGTGTTCAGCATCACAGCATCCATGAGTTACCTCTGTACAGCAAATTGACACACAAGTGCTATACCACCTAGAAGAATTTTTGAACAGAAACAAGAGCCAGGCCTACAGGATTTAAAAATTCCAGCATCCCACATGCTGATGGACTGTTAGCCATAGACCCCCAGTTCATCTAACAAGTCCCATCTGCTGACACACACTTGGGATGAAAAGAAAGGCCTAAGGGCTCGCCGAGCATTCCATACCATACCTGTTCCTCCTCAAGATGTGAGAGGCCATCACAACTTCCAGCCTAAAACCAACTCACAACACACTAGCTCTCAGCCTGAAGGCATATAGTGTGTGTGTGTGTGTATAAGGCATATAGATGAAATATTTTGTAAAATTCAACATTTCTTTAAAAATTATGTCTAGATGACATTAACCTACAATAGAGTGCTTTTCTGCAGTCTATTTAGATCTGCATTTCTGAAACTGGTGACAGCTGTGTTGGTGCTAAGCAATACAGCTCTTATGGACCTTCCACCTTAGCCATCACAGCCCCATTCCCAAGGTGACCTACTGCAGCCCTGTAACCAGGATCATAACTTGATCACCTCCAAAGAAAAGTCCTGTCAGAGAAATCTGGAAAAGGCTCTAAAGAGTTATATTAAAAAAAACCCGGTTTTGTTTATATTAATCAAACATTTCCAGACTTTTCATTACTGCAGTTCTTTTTCAGATTTAACAGATTTGAAAATTCAAATCTCCCTGTTGAAGCCACAGTTGTGAGGCTGGGATTTGGAGAGAACAGAGGCAAGAGTGACTAGTGTTATTTGTAACCTGTTTCCTTCAGTTACGAGACAAACACCTAGAAAAATGAAACAAAGGATGAGGCTAAGTGCTTGTGCACATGAAAGAGCTGCTAAGTACTGGACACTTGGGGAGTATAGGGAAATAATTGCTGGACTGGTTACCCAAAGCTGGACAGTGAGTTTTTAAAGGATGCACTGTGTGGCTTGGGTAGGATGGGACAAGGACTGACCAGGCTGGAGATCAGAGGACTGCAGTGCACATCTGGGCAGCTATACATCCCCGTGGCTGCAGGGCCTTTCAGGGCCAGGGCTACAATGAACTATCCTTGTCCACAGTGACACCCAGTAGGACATGAGGGAAGACTGATTGTAAGCAGCTGACTGCATGCTCCTGCCAGAGCCTGAAAGCAGGAGAGGAGACAGGCCTCTTCACAAATGTGACACAACCATCAGATCATGTTACCTGGATGGCTAAGGAGCTGGTCACTGCCCAGTCAGCCACATGGGTCGAGTCTGATCACCTACAGAGCTGGGCAGTGATAGGAACATACATTCTTCAACTCTATCATTCATCCAGTGAGCAAAGTGGACTCTAAACTGCAGCCTGAGGTGAATCAGGAGTGAAGGGAGGGTGCGCTCTGGATTTTCAATGACAGGCCTGAGCAACAGGGATTCTCTCCACAGTCCACAGAAGCCACCCTGTGACAGGGCTGGGTATTTCCCCATCTGGCCAGTTTAATGCACACAGGATGTAGACCACTGGGACTCTGATTATACCTCCAGCTCTGCTATTTCCCATGATGCACACAGGATGTAGACCACTGGGACTCTGATTATACCTCCAGCTCTGCTATTTCCCATGACGCAGGATTTGTCACTCGGCTTTGGGGGATATTCTTTGCCTTCCCCACTCCCAAACTTATTTCCCTAATAAACCTAATTCAGTACTACAACTATGAGTAAAGTCTGTGAGTTAACAATATTGAACCCAAATGACTAGTGGAGACAGGTGCAGGAGCATGGCGGCGGAGGGGTATGTCTGACCTAGCAGCGATGTTTGCTGTTATAGATATTGATGAGGACAGTTCCCCTAATTTATGAAATGGTTAGAAGTCAGACTTGGCCATCCCCACCTTGCATCTGCTCCCTTACAGTCATGTTAGCTGAGCTGTTTGCATCTGACAAGAATGAAATGGCTTATACGTCAAAGAGGTCTGTAAACTGCCAAACGCATACAGATAATAGAGGCTGCTGACGCTGCTGAGCGGCCATCTGAAGAACGCTCCAGGTGTGAGAACTGGACGAGCACACAGTACACCTCTGCTCAGCTCCTTGCTGTGAGAACACAGGTGGAGGGCTGCTTGCCAGATGGCAGTTGGAGTGAAGTGTCCTAAGCCTTGCAGCTAGTTTCTCTGGATAGTGCTGTGTGGGGAGAGAATGGCAGGAAGTGCAAACGCTGATACACGCATGCACACATAGCACAACACAACCATCCCGTGGAGCAGGACCAGGGTGCGATCCCCTGGTTAAGAGACAACAATGGAGGAGCACAACTCCTTGCTCCTCACTGTGACTCAGGAGCAGGACCTCTCCACTGAGCTAACAGCCCTGAACTCCTGTTTCTAGGACAGCCTTTACCCCAGGCTGACAATCTGGGTCAGCAAACACCTTTCAAGTACACTCTATCAAACATTCTACAATAAAACCAAGTGGTAAAGCAGAAATTTATTAAAATCCATTTATATAGTGTTTACTCACACAGAAAATGTACAGCGTCAACATTCAGGCAATCAACTCCATTCTCAGGACTTTGACAGAAACTGCCTTCCTCCCAATATATTTCCATACAAACCCGAGAATGATGCATTTCATTACATCACCTCTCTTAAGACAGAATCCCTCTGAATACCTAAGCCAGCCCTTCTTTTGCAGAGAATGAAGAGATATCAGCAGAGCCCTGCTCCAAGATGCAGCGCCTCATGACAGATGTAGTGCAAGAGATATAAACAGGGTGGCTGCCCACAGTGGTGGGGCCTCCTAGCTCCGCAGCGTGGCCAGCCGAGACTGCATGGCCTCCAGGGCCTCCTCCTCCTCTTCGTCCTCAGCAGCCATGGCTCCTGGAGGCTCAGGGTCTGGAAGGGCATCGGTCACTTTACTGGGTGCTTTGCCCAAGGCCCCTGAAAGAGAAACCGCGATTAGTTAAAGCTAAAAATGCTGGTTTTAAGGAAATTGTCCCATGCCCACCTGGCCTTCTGCAGCAGATCCAATTCAACAAAAAAGAGAAAAAGTGGAATTTGGCTCACTCTGACAGCTATGCACACACCAGCTTTAATGATAGAGAAGTAAGGATTTTTATTTTCACAATCTTGCTTTTTAAACGATGGATCGAAATTCTTCTTGGTGTGGCATCTGACTCAATGATGAATAAATCTGTACCAAAAATGAACCCCTGCCATCCTGAGCCATTTTCATGTTTAAATACTACTTAAAATGCCATTTTCAAGATTAACAAAGATGGTAAAGCGTCTGAGCAAAATCAAACCATTTCAAAGTCTTCCCATTCTTCCCCCTGAAGTAACACTTCTTTGCCCCGACAATCTGAGTCCGCTCAGCTCACGGTGTCCCCTTCTCGTGCACCTCAGGGCAAAGCTGTATTCCCTGGCGTTTCCTGTACTGCAGCCTCTGGAAGCACACTGTGGGCTTGTCTCCCAAGGCTCCCCTCACGGATGCCAACCAATGACCATTCTGGCCAGAAGGTGAGGCCCACCCACCTGCGCCACCCAGGGAAGAAGACCTCCCACAACTGAAAACAAGCAGAAAAACTCTACTCCACCTAATTTATTTTCGTGAAATACAAAACAAAGGAACTCCAGAATCAGAAAAACAAAACTCATCAACCATCACTGGTAATAACTCTTGGCATTTTTAAGTATCCTCCTTGCAGACTTGATTTCTAAACACGTGTTTTAAGTGGAAATGACCAGGATAATGAGGCTTCACAAAATACATCAAAAACATCTTTCCATGTCAATGAATTGATCTTCCCAATATCAAACAGTATTGTGATGCTTAATTTTATATGCCAGTTCCACAGTATCATCGACTGTTACCAGACCTGAAACCCTGCTAGCCAAGACCTTGAAGTAAGTGGATAACACTCTGTGTGCTGCTCCTTGCTTGTTTCTCTAGAGAAACCTAAGTATTCCATTAAGATGTATACAACATGATTAATTCATGCACTATTCAAATTATCAGATATTTAATTTGTTTCAAACTTTTCATTACTATAAACAGAGCTCTGGAATATTTCAGCGCACCATAAATTATTTCATTAGAGTTACTCCTAAATGTGGATATCTTCTAGCTTAAATTTTTTTGACAGCTATGGCTAAACTACTCTAAAAAACAAATGGAACTAATATAAACTCCCAACAATAGTGCATGATCCTAAGAACCTTCCCTTAAAAATGTCATCAAATTAGAAGGTCATTTAAAAAGATGATTATAGATGTCACACTTATTCTTTAAAGAATAAAAGTGTAAAACCTTAACTGCAGCATTTCTGACTAAGGCTGTTACGGTCTGAGAATTTGTGGATGCGGGAGGAGCGGCTGGGGAGAAGGCAGAGGACGGCAACTCGCGGGTCATACCTGCTGTAATTTCAAACAGAATCTTGTCAATTTCCATTTCTGCCTCCTCTTCCATTTCTTCCTGATCGTCCATGCCTTCAAAGGTGTCTTCTAACATCTCTTCTATGATACCAGCCTACACACAGGATAAACAGTGTCACTTCTCCCATAGTCCACACCTGCACCCAGCAGACCCCTCCATGTGGCCAGTGCTGACCACGCTCAGGTGGGCCTCTCACCCCACAGCCAGTCCATCTTTGTCAGGCTTAACACAAGAGGGAGCTGGGCCAATGAAATACTGAACAGTATCCTCTCTGCACAGAAGCACAGCTCAAAAGAAAATGTGTCTTCAAATCTGGCAGCTTGGCTTGGGAGGGCCACTGGCGAGCAGCAGCCTCACACGCAGGCTGGCCTACAGGAGCAGCCAGGCAGGGAGGCTGCTGACAGACATGCACAGGCCCAGAACTGCCACGTGTATATGCAGTAGCGGATGTGTGAGTGGCGAGGAGCCTGTGAACACAGCGGTACCAGAGAAGGCAGGTCTGAAGAGGACTTGCTACTGGCAGCCACCAGATGCAACGGACTCCAGGCCCTGGTAAGGCCAGAAGCAAGGTCCCCCCACAAACATCTGACACGCCTTCTGGTCCACAGCCCAGATTCTACAGAAGGCGTTCCCCTTGATGCTGGAGTTTACAGGATTGGAATGAACAGGCTGACAAGAGTCACTACTAGCTAGAGAGGCTGGCCAGCCACCAATATGGGGGGTGAGAAGGTGGAACTTCACTTTTAAAAGTGTACCCACTGACCTAGTTTCCTCCTTACTGCTAACACCCAAGGTGATTCTGTCTCAAAGACCTGGGCCCTGGGCTTTTACAATGATTTTTTTCCTTCTAACAACTGCTCATCTAGTTCTTCTCCCCTCTGAACTGTAGCCTCGTATCAATTTTAAGTTCACAGAGGGAATTCCCCAGAAGGCAAGGAGGTGATTTTTGTGCACAAACGGAGTACAAAATGTCTAGTGTACAATCTCTGTCCTCACGCCAGGTCTGAAGCAGGAAAGAACGCTCCACTCTCCACGAGACGCTTCCTATTCCTGGTTCCTCTGCTCCAACCCAAAATATCCATCACTGACCACCTGAGCACCCTGACCACACCTGGGCACCCTCAGGCAGATCACCTCTGCTTCCTCCCATGTAAAACGGGGCTAAGGCCTCAGCCCCAGGAACGCTGAGAGGACTGGGCAGGGGGCAGCCCCCAGGGGCCAGAAGCCCAGCAAGTTATCTGTTGAGCCTGTCTGCGGGAGGGCTGCAGGGCAGGCCCCGATGAAGGGTGATGGGCATTTGTTAGACTTTCCATTTTCTTTGTCTCTGCATTTTTCAGTCTAGAACAGAGATGAGCAAATGATGGTCCTCAGAATATCTTTCCACACAGTGATCTGTCCCCTCCAACCTGCCCTCAGCCCTGAGCCCAACCACAGGCTCAGAGGCTCTCCCTGCAGGAGAGGGAAGCTGGGCCCCAAGTCACCTTCATCATCTCCTTAGACAGCTCCCGCATGGTGGCCTGGATTTCAGGGATCCTCACAAGACTCTGCATGGCTTTCATCACCTCTGTGCTCTTCTGCAGGGAGCCAGCCACTCGGAGAATGGCTGAAAGAGAGAGCAAAATCAAGACTGCACAGCAGAACATGACAGGGGACAGATAGCAAGAGATGGGCTTGTTAGATAAAAGGGAGCAGCAGCAAGGACCCTCCTCCCCCTTAAGCCATTTAGGGACCTTCCAACAGCACCTAACAACAGCAGAACAAACCACCCTGCTGACTTTTAAACCGTGTGCTCTCCTCACCAATGGTGCGACCTCTCTGGGGCATAAACTCCAACTGGCTGAGCTGGGAGAGGCTTGAACAGCCCAGGCTGACTTTTCGGGGGGAAAATGCCAGTTTTGAATGACTGTAGCACCTAGGACAAGTCTCAAATAGGAGTGGCAGCTGTAGGTGTTAAGGGCCACAGTGAAACAGAAGACTGAAGCCCCCCACGTCATGTTCCCCAAATGCCAACCTATGGATAACCTGTGTTTACAGCAAAATGAAAGAAATCAAGAGTTAGACACAGAGTCTAGGTGAACTTCCATCGTTAACCTGCCAGACCTAAGGGCAGCTGGTAGAAAATGGCCACAGAAAACAGAGCAGTGACAATTTAGTTCTTGATTCCCTCTGTTAATGTTTTCTAACTTTAAATGTCAGCTGTTGTTATGTGGCGTCAAGTCAATCCTATGTACAACAGCTCGGAACCCTGCTCTATCCTGAGCCAACCTTATTGTCTCTGACACACATTACCAAGTCACTGAATCAATTCATCTCATCCAGGGTGTTCCTTTCCTGCACTGTCCCTCTACCCTCCCAAGCATAGTGTCCCTCTCACAAGGGCTGGTCCCTCCTGCAACATGCCCAAAGTATGTCAGATGGAGATGGAGCTTAAATATCCTTGCCTCCAAGGAGCAGCTGGGTTTCACTCTCTCTAGGATGAACCTGTTTGTTCTCATAACTTGTTGCTGTTGTTTGGTACTGTCGAGCTGAGCATGGCTTAAAGCAACTGTGAACAAAAGATCTGAATCTTATTCTATCCTGAGCCATCCTCACACTTCCTGACATATAAGAGCCCACTGCAGCAGTCACCCTGTCAATCCAGTTGAGGGCTGTCCTCTCCTTCACTGACCCTCCCACCCTTCCCAAACGCATGTCCTTCTTCAAAGAATAGCCCCTCCAAGCAACATGTCCAAAGTATGTGAGGCAAAGCCTCATCATTCTAGCCTCCAAAGAGCACTTAGGTTGCACCATCTCCAAGATATATCTGTTCATTCTCTTAGCCATCCATCGAATGGATGTTCAGTGCTCTTCTCCAATACCACAGCTCAACGGTGTCAAATATTTTACTATCATCCTTATTCATTGTCCAAGTCTCAAATGCATAGCTAGTAATTGGAAAGACTATGACCTGAATCAGATGCATCTTAGTCCTCAAACTGACATCACTACTCCTCAAAATTTTGAAAGATCCCTAACTGCCTTATTTCCTGACTGCTGGTACCAAAGGTGTTAACTGTGGATCCAAGCAAAATGAAGCTACTGACAGTTTCAAACTCCTCTCCATTCATCATGATGCTGCCTATCAATCTAGTGGTAAGAATTTTCGTTTTCCTGACACTGAAATACAATCCAGACCAAAGGTTGCATTCCCTTATCTTCTGCAACAAGTGCTTCAAGCCCTCCTCACTTTAAGCAAGCAAGGTTGTGTCAGCTACATAACACAAATTATTGGTGAGTCTCCCCCTAATGCTGATGCCACACTCCTCCTCATAGAGTACAGCTTCTCGGATAATTTGCTCAGCATATAGACTGAACAGGTATGGAGATAGAACACATTCCTGTCGCACTCCATTCCCAATTCCAAACCATGCAGTGCTCCCCTGCTCCATTCACACAACAGCCTCCTGGTCCAGGCACAGGTTCCTCATGAGCACAACAAAGTGCTCTTGGATTCCCATTCTCCTCAATGTCAGCCACAACTTGTCATCATACACACAGTCAAACACCTTTGGATAGTCAATAAAACACAAATAGACATTCTTCTGGTATTCCGTACTTTCAGCCAAGATCCATCTGACATCAGCATTGATATTCTCCTATCAGGCCATGGTGTATTCAATACTCATCTTCAGCACTACAGCTCAAAGGCATCAATTCTCTTCCTAACATCCCTAGTCATGGTTCAGCTTTCTGAGGCACAGCATGTAACTCTGAAGACCATGGCCTGGATCAGGCACACTTTAGTCTTCAGATTGGCATCACTGCTATTCAGTATTCTGGAGATGTCCCTGACAGCAGACTTTCCCAATGCAATTTGTGTTTCGGTTTCCTGGCTGCTGATACCACGAGAGTTGATTGTGGAGCCAAGCAAACTAAAGCTGTTAAAAATCTCAATTCCTTCTCCATCTATCATGATGCTACCAATTGGCCCAATGGGGAGAGTCTTTGTCTTCTTGATCTTGAACTTCAAGCCACATTAAGGCTGCAGTCCTTCATCTTCTGCAGCAAGCGCTTCAGGTGAATCTGTTTTTATAAAAACGTGTTGCTGTTAAATCAACTCTGACCTGGTAGGATAGAGGAGAACTGTCCCTAGTCCCACTAAGCTGACAATATGATCACTAAAAGACGATTTAAAATTCCAGTCACAAGAGGAAAGAATAAAATCCTAAGAAAATACGATGCCATCTTATAATGACACTCCACAATAAAAATAAAAGCTTGTTTTTGTTGCTGCAGCTGCTGTTGGGCGTTACTGAGTAGACTACAAACTCACGGGGACCTGAAGAACAGGTCAGAACCCTGCACCGTCCCGCACCCCCCTCCTCCTCTGATACGCTCACGCCCACTGTTACGATCCATCTTGTTGAGGGGCTTCCTCTTTTTCTCTCTCTAGCTTGGCCAGTATGACATCTTCCAACAAAGAGATTCTCCTCACCACATGCCCAAGAATAAGAGACTAAACTTCACCATCCTTGCCTCTAGGGAGCACCTTGGTTGCACTTCCTCCTAGGCAGACTCGGGTGTTCTTTTGGCAGTCTATGGGATAGTCAATATTCTGCATCAAGATTATTCACAATTCAAAGACATGGATCCTTCCACGGTCATCCTTATTCATGACCAACAATCAGATCCATGGGAAGCAACTGAACGTGAAGTGGCTTGGACCAGGCACATCTTGGTTTTTTAAACTGATTATCTTTGCTCTTTAGCACTTTGGAGAGCTATCTTGACAGCAGATTTTACCAATGCAACACATTTTTTTTTAATTTCCTGTTATTGACTGTGGATCCAAGCAAAATAAAAACTGTTGACAACTTCAATCTTTAACCATCTATCATAACGCTGTCCAGTATATGATACTCAAAACACTCACCTAAGGTAAAAACTCTTATAGGAGAAAAAAAACAACACCCAACCTTCCTTCCTTACAACAAGGGCTAGCAAATAAAAACAGTAAGAACAGATAATTTAAAAAGTAACTCTGGTGGCCTAGTGGCAGGAAGCTGCACTGCAATCCCAGAGGTGTGCAGTTCGAATCCACCAGAGCTCTGCTGGAGAGAGAAGGAGGGACAATCTCCTCCTGTACCAGTCAGATCCGATTTCTCACACACACACACACACACACACACACACACACACACTAAATTAAAAAGAAGAAACACTCAGCCAAAAAAAAAAACCAGAGTAGAAAGACAAAAATCTTTTAAAAGACTAAAATGAAGAAAAAGAAAATAGTGTAGATTCTATATATGAATAACCCAAGTACATTTAGGAAATGTCCAAAATCTAAAGTGAGATTATATATCATTTACATGCTATCACCTGAAGATGATTTAGAGTGGCTGATTAAAAAGACATACATACATAGCATATACAAAAAAGTCCAAAAGGTGGAGGTGACCGCCACATCCAAGCTGCCATTTCTGACAGCTGCACTCCCGATTCTGGGGCTGGATCCGTCTCCACTAGCTGGAGGCAGCCACCTGACAAGTCCTGGGATATTAAAGCACTCCTGACTGTTGCCCACGAGATGTTAGGAGCAACTCTGTTCATCTCCAACAGACATCTTAACCAACAGTGTTTCAAACACTATCAAATGTTCCCTGAGGGAGAAAGCATACTTGCAGGGGACCTAGGATTCTGGAGCTCCTGCATCTGAGATTTTATCTAGCTTTCAGCATTTCAACAGGACAGATTTTTTCCCCCAGTACTAGGTTCCAAATTCCCCCTCTGGTTTTTACATAAGGAATAATAAAACATTGCCTCTTTAGGGAGCCCTGGTGGCACAGTGTGCTGCTAACCCAAAGTTGGCCTTTCTGCCAGTTTGAGTCCATCAGCAGTTCTATGAGAGAAAAATAGGCAATCTCCTCCCACTCCATCCTCAGCCTCAGAAAACCCGCTGGGGGGAGTTGGGGGTGGTGTCCAGATATGTGTCGATTACAACTCAACAATGAATCTGAGTTTTGTTTTTCATATCTTTACTGACTTTACCAGTAACTGCATAGAAGTTTTAGAATTATTCTTCATAAGTCTTTTTCTTACACTTAAAAAAAGGTGAAGACTTATGAAAATGTATCGTAGGAAGGTCATTTGGTGGAAAGCAAAGTCACTGTGTGTCAAAAGGTGCCTTTCAGAGGATTCTGGTTTTTAGCAGATAAAAACTCCACAAAGGCATTTACTCTGAGTGACTTTTAATTCCGTGACACCGCAGGACAGTATGGAGCTGTCCCAAGAGGTCTCCAAGGCTGGAAACCTTTAAGGAGGCAGGCTGCCTCATACTTCTGAGGAGCAGCTGGCGAGTTTGAACCACTGACCTTTCAGTCAGTAGCTGACTGTGTCACCAGAACTCATTTGCTACACCACCACCAGGTAAACCCACTGCTGCTGAGCTAATTCCAACTCACAGCAATGCTACACATCAGAGGAGATATCCCTGAGGGGCCGCAGAGCGACCATCTCCATGGAAGGAGCGTGGGCGCCAGTGGGCAGCGAGCTGTGCATCTAACCAACACATGACACCACACGACACCATGTGATGCGGCTGTGCTACTCTGAACCTCCATC